ATAAAAGATATAACTTCAGGAAAGGCCAAATATGCATGCTTCTTTTGTAATTTTAAATGGATTTTACTAGTTGATAGACAACAATACTTCAGGTCTTACCTCAGTGAAAAAAATCACAACTGGAGGACTCCAAGTAGCCCTTAGGAAAAAACAGCAGATAAGACCAAGAGATAGAGCACTTTCAGGAGCACTACCTCAGAATAACAGAATTCCTCTTCTTCTCTTACAGGTAGGTGAGAGAGGTTCATTATAGTGAACCATCCTTATCACTGTCAAGTTTCTTCAACTAAAAACAGAAGGTAAGTGGCCATTTCCTTTCAAAGAGCGCTGTCAGGCAATAGCCATCAGGAAGTCAATGGTTCTTACACCACAGGTCTCTTCACGTCTGTAGCTCCTAGCAAATCCTATTTGTTCATATTTGTAAGGTAAAAGCTTTGGATTTTCCCACATCCACCATGGCCCATAAAGGGACTGCACTTCTATAGAAAATATATCAAGCAGTTGCTACAATTGTTCAGTGTAACTTTTTCAATTATAAAACTATAAACTACATAATATTCTCAGGAGAAAGTACTCATATATAATTTCAAGTCATCTTCTCATAGGATTCAAAACCACGGTAAAACACCTTGCAGTCAATCCCTGCCAGAGGATCACCATATTAAGATCTCTTTACATGAAAGGTAGGTTTCCAGCAGCCTTACAACCTGTATGTGAAATTAGCAGAAACTATACTACTACTATATTAGCAACAGAAATTAAGTTGAAGTATATGTAAATGAAGACAATCCAGTTCAGACAAGTGTAAGAGTACTACTTCAGAAACATCTTCAAAAGCCTAGACACTCTTCCCTGCCATGGAGATTTTTTGAGGAAACACTCTCAACACTGTGATAGTGTTTATTATAAATTACTATTTCAAGATGTTTTAGAGGTAACTCCTGTTCCTGCCGTTAAATTTTTTATATTGTGCGGTTTATAATCTGTGAAACAGGAAGAGAGGAAGAAGCACTAATTCCCACAAACCAAACTTCTCTTTCTGTTTCCAGTGGCAAACAGGCAGTTTAATAAAATTTTCAGAATTAGAAACTCCATGATCCAACTACTTTCAGAAAATGCTTATTCTAATATACTCTGGGGAATGAATAATCATACCCTGAACAGTTTTAGTTTTGAAGCCAAAATGATATTAAGAACTGTTCCTCACCATGGTTCATTATTATACTTTTCTGGTGGAATGCATAAAACAAAAGACAGCAATTTTTCTTGTATTTTCTGCTGCAGAAAACGACCTAAATACTAGACAGAGCTAACAAACCATCATGGTTTCAGCCGAGTTTGTTAGTTTTCTTCTTAGTATCTGGTACAGTGCTGCGGTTTGGATTCAGTATGAGAATAGTTGGTAACAGTTTGATGTTGGGGTAGCAATACTTAGCAATAACCAGAAGTCTCTGCAAGTGAGGAAGGGCTCAAGAAGCCATGAGGGAGCAAGGCCAGCACAGCTGAGCCAAACTGGCCAAGAGGATATTCTATACTAGCATGTCATGCCCAGAACATAAACTGGGGGAAGCTGGCCAGGAAGCATGGATCATTGCTCAGGCTGGGCATGTTAACAGGTGATCAGTAATTGTGTATCATCACTTGCTTATCTCGGGGTTTCTCTTTGTTGTCTTTTATGGTACAATTATTATCTTTAATTTCAATTCTGTTCTCATTTCAACCCACTCCTTTTACCTTTCCTCACAGTCTCCTCTCCATCCTACCAGGGTAGGTAGGATGTGGTACTTAGCTACTGGCTGGGCTTAAATCTTGAGAAACACAGGAGTTTACGTCTCAAACGCTTTTCGCAGGACCCGTTTCTGCAATACTCCTCACTCTGAAAGAAACCAAGGTAAGCCTAGGGCAAATTATTTCCTCTTTTGTTAAGGTAAGATGAAACACAGATTGAACAATAGCTGCATATTCTTCTTCCTTTTCAATCAACTTACCAATTTAAAAATAAGGCCTAAGCATTTGGGTTTTTACAGTCCATTTATCTCTTTCTTTCCACAAAAAAAACCCTGAACTTCATTTTGGGACAGATATAAATCATTCGTCACCTGCCACTATAAAACCAGTACCTCTGTTGCTGGGAGAGTGCTCCGTAGTAAGGGAGAACTGCAATTTCAGGGAAAAAGTGTGTTTATTGGTCTGGTGAGAAGCCTGAAGTATAGCTTAGGGGTAAGAGCACACATCAGTACTTCAAATTTTCACCCTCAACACAGCTCAATTAAACAGCAAGGCACCAGGGCCTTTTGAACTTCCACTTACCACTGTTTTCAGTAAGATGAAAATCAAGTGACATCAGCTTCAAAAACAGGGGAAAAAAAAGGGCATTTTACTTCAGCCCCCTCCCAATCCTACCCTCCCTACACTTATTAACATACCCACTACTACTTAATCTATTTTACAGCCCACGTATCATTCATGTTTCAAATATTTTTAAATGGAGACAGATCACAATTGCCAAGTAGTATTCAAATACAAATGAAAATCTCAGGAAATTCCCAAGAAAACTGCTGGAAAGGCTCTCTATACTTCTCCTATTCCTTATACTGGTCATCCTCAGACAGAATACTGAACGAGGCAGATTTTGTCCCACTCAATACAGCCATTCTTCTGAGCATCAAACACCACTTTGTCCTCTGGAGCCTGCAGGAAGTTTGAGACAATGGCAGAGAAGTACTGTCTTCATAGCCCTGATAGCTCAACTGGACTATCAACTAAAAAGCCACATGATGTTTGAAAGGAAACAGAATTCATCATTCTAATTGTACTTCTCCAGTATATATCCTCTGAGGTAAATATAAAGACAGACAAGAAAAAATGCTTGTAAAACCAGTTGCAACACCAAAAAATAGAGAATGCAAATCATCAGACATGCATTTACATAGTATATAAATTCTCCATGTGTATTTCACTCATCTGCAATTTCCATTTTTCTGTTAAATTCATTCATACTCCAGATGATAGCTCAAAGGTTGTCCTCTGGGACAAAGGAAGGGAGTGTGAAGAAAAGCTATGAGTTAGGGCCAAACACTCTTCAATATAAAGAATACCTTTCCTTGTGCAAAGTCAAGCACTTGCCAAGTGCTGTGTCCATGTTTGAAGGTCCTATGGAATGCTTTTCTTTACCAACGGATTTCAATTCAATGCTGGTTTTTAATTGGCAGAAGACATACCCCAAAGTTTGTATGGCAAATTTATACAGTTAAGATCTTTCCTGCAGGAAAGATGGTAGGAACCCCAACACCAGCACACAATATAGCTGCAGCCAGAGTCATGCACTCGTCTGCACGATGGCAGCCAGACAGCACAGCTTACACTGAAATTACTATTCACAGGGATCTGATACTTCATGCAGGTGTCACACCAGCACTGGCACTACGTAACAGTGTGGGTGCTGTGGCAAGATAACCACAGCTAGCTTAGTTTCACTCACTTGCAGCTCTTGATTATGGATCACAGCCTCCACCAGTAAGACGAGTTCTTCAGCAAGACAGAACCTCCTACCTTAATAAGGACCTTGTTACTTCAATAATAGCAAAGCATTTATGCAGAGCTACTGTCGAATTTTCCATGCGGTTGCAAGGTACTTCTCCTGCTTATAAACTCAGCATTTGTTTAATTACTAAGTCTCTGCTGGTTTTGCCAAGTTACTAAAACCGATAAATGGCAACATTCCATAACAGTTTGTTTAACCACAAATTTCCTGGACCACAGCCCAACAGCTATGTGACACTTCTAACTCACCACTAATGATGGTTAGTGCAAGACTTCACTGGACTAAAGCACAAAAACAGCAAAGTGCTTCCATGCTGTTTACCGCACAATCTTAAAGCTTTAAAACTAACAAGCTGTTCTGTAAGCTCTAAGTTTCATGAAGTGCTTTTGCAGAGAAATCCCATGCCACGTGTTCAAAATGTGTCACACAGTAGCTCTTCACAACTGTATCTCCTTATCTCACTTGTATTAAAGAATACTCCAGAAAATGTATCAGAACTAAATCCACAACTTAAGACCTATTAACCCCCTCCAAACAAGGTAAAAAAGCCAGTTTCCATCTTAAAATTGGTTATAAAAATGACCTTTCAATCTTCACTGGTCTTGCAAAGCAGATCTTCTGGAACATGTCCTGGTTAAAACATTAGTTCACTTTTGTAAACACTTTAGTCCCTATACTACTAGTACACATTTTTTATTGGCTACCAATTTTCCGTAGCTCTGAAGACCAGGACCGTTCCTTGAGAAAGTTCTGCAGCTAAATATGTCTTACCGTTGTGCACATCTACCTTTTTTATATGCTGAGGCCAATCCTTTTCATGACTAAACATTCTGACAGGCCTCCACATTGATATGCAGTAACTTTATTCCCTAACAAATGCTTTGGAACATACGGAACAAGACTGTCATGAAGTACTTTGGTACCTAAAGTGCTACCCACAACCCTAAACCTTCAGTCTTCTATTTCATCTCCAACATCACAAGATAAACTCACTTTCTCCAAGTTCACTGCACATAAACATGGCATCTTCTTCAGAGGTTTTAACATTCTGTATTAACATCAGCCTAAAGATGGTACCTTGATTTTTCAAGACATATGCCACTCATCTGATCCTCTAATGAATATATAAATTCCTTTGAATATCTAAGTATTTAACCACCTCTCTGCTTTTCTGACATCTTAACATCCAGAAGACTGACCTAGCTAGGACTGCTAACTTTTAGACTTACCAGCCAAGTAACTCCACTAGATGCTGTTAACAGGACTCAGACTTTTTGCAGACCTGCAGTGGGCAGAAGATTCAAACTGATCTTACCTTCCCCCTTGAGTACACAGTAGTTTGTCCAGGAGTCTCTCACACACATGAAGCATCATGTGCCCACTACATGCTGCACTAGACAGCACAAGGCCATATTGCCTCCACAGCTCTTTAGTACAAGAAATCATAGAACACTGATGATCCATAGCTGACGTGCAACAGCTTTAACATCCTTATCTTTATTTAAAAGCATGTACAAAACATGGCACATGAAAATACGCACCACTCACAGTTAGCATTTGTTAACAGAAACAAGTATTATGGAATGAAATGAAGCTATTTTCTAGTTTGTATCTGCAGACCTTGATGTTCAATAGACTGATTTACCATTCCTTGCTCAAAAGGAGCAACCTTTAGCCAGAGTAGCTGTCCACTGCTTAATAACCAAACCATAGGAGATGCCCAGTGAGCCACCAATGCACTCCTGGAGTTCAGTCAGATCCTTAGCATCCACTTTAGTAGCCTGACGGATACTTATTTTTGACGTTTCCAATACGCTGCTCCTAGTAGTGTTTATACTTCATACTACTTTGATAGAAAATTGGACTTTACATGGAATTTGTCACTGATGAACAGGAACACCCCATGAGATACAGGGTTGTTTTATGTATTTCGGACCATTTCAAAATTATTCAGTAATAGTAGGTCTATGAATTTTTAATGATGTTATTCTCATGTTTCTGCCCTTAAAAAGAATTCCTGACAAAAAGGCTTAAAAGTCATGCTTCAAGGCAAATTTCATCATATGTACACACCATGAGTTGTCTTTAAATTTATTTGGTGACCAATTTATGATCCTTCACTCCTCTGTGGAAAGGATAGTTTGCTGAATACAGCAAATATGCTGCTACTGTGATTACAGCACCAGTACTTTTCAAGCAACTGTTCAAAGCCAAGTTCCTATGTATGTAACTCTCTTCCCCAGAGAGCAAGCAAGTACTGTTGCCAGTGTATTCATCAAAGGCCAGTTGCAGTGTTCTGGTACTAGTCCTCTCCTGCTGAAGTGGCAGTCTATAAAACCCCAACTCCTCACTCCATCACTAGATACAGTGATGCAAGCTGTAGACACTATCTTTTTCTTTGTTTTCACCCTGTATTTATAGGGCCTGACTGTGGGCTCCACTCTTGAGATATCACAGATCTACAGTATCTGCAAGACTGTGTACTTGTGTGGTATTTTAAAAAGGTAACTAATCATGAGGTCTTCCATGCACTGAAGCTCAATAATAATGATATCTCAATCTAATATAATATTAATATTATCTCAATTTCCCTAATATTACTGCTACACTTCCTAAAGAAGACAGTTCAGTGTTTTGGAAATATGGTGTTTTAAATATGCAGAGACAGTAATTCTGGTCTACATGTGGTTTCTGAAGACAGCATCTACTGAACAAAATTGCAGCTGTTTCAGCAGGCTTGTAGAAGCATGGCATCCCACTCCAAGCCACAGTATCTCTTCAGGTGTTACACTTCCTTCTGGTTACATCATCCACATTTGTCAGGCAGTTCTGACAAAGTGTTCCAATTTATCACTGAAAAAGGAGAACAGTAAGTAAAATGGTTCATCCAAGGTAGAAATTTCTATTTGCAAGTAAGCACACAACAGATCGTACTGAAATGTTGCTAATTCTGAAAAAAACACCCCAAAACCCGGAAACCAAACCCACAGAGACAGTTTAGTACTTTTCAGAAAGTTCAAACAAAGCATTTTGGTCTCATCTCAGACTCCGGATCCGTATAAAGTTTGTCAGCAAGGAGTTCAGGTTCGGGATAGGATCATCACAGATGAGACAAAAGCAGTAAATGAACAAGAAATTTAGTAAGAAACATCCTATAGATTTCTGATTGCTTAGTTTTTGTATTACAAGCTAACATTTTGTTATTTCAGTAATAGTGTACATTATTTAAAACTTTTCATGTAGGTTTGAAATCTAACAAAGGTTAGGCTCAGCTATCAGCTCATATCGTGCCTAAGGGAACAAGTGTCTTTTAAATGCCAGCCATGGCTTACCATATCAATTATGTTCATAACTATCATAATGCAAAAAAATCTGATGTGTAGGCACAGTTACTTTAGACTTAGAACCAGAAAATGTTAAGAAGCTTTTCAGTTACATACTTAAAGCCAAAAGCACTTGTTCCTACTTGTTTTCTATAAAACACATTTTCCTGTAGGAAAGAAGTTTTTAAATTTTAGTTTTCTTCCATCACTCAAAATACAACCTGCCATCTATTTAGCCTCTCGTACAGACCCAACTACATTATTCAACATGTGTTGCATTAGTATCAGCACGCTGCAAGTTCTGTGAAACTTTAAGGAAAAGTGTAGTCATGTTACAGTAAGATTTGTTTTGCTTCTCTTGCCCAGCTATTGCTCAACCTGGGCATGAACTATGATAGGAGGGGGGAATTACACCTGATTATCAGGACATACAATACTGGCAATCTACCTATCAGGATCAAAAGTAGTATTTATTGGAATTCATACCTTCTATTCAGAAGCAGCATTCAAGCATCTCTGCAAAGACATAAAATGCACTGGTTAGTTAATGCCAACAAGTTTTGCTACTTCCAACTTGTCTCTAGGTCAGCCATGAAAGTCACTCCCTTTTCTATCTAAACAATACAGCATTTTATAGGCAATACTGCTGCACACGTTTCACTCATACATTTGAACTTCACATACTAGAACAAAACCTGTTGTTGAAAAGAAAGTACTCGTTGCTAGCAAAGTATTTAAAGGTACCTTTCTTGAATAAGTAGTAGAATCAAGTTACAGATGTGCAGCAACATAGGGAAATGAGAAGTTCTCACTCTACATTTTAACTAAAACCAGCCTGTGGATATACCCAAGCACCAGTGCAGTAAAGTATATTTCACTGAAAAATATTAAGTTCAGATATTTATGTGGGAATGAAGCTCTTGGAGAACCACTGCTAATATTCTTAAAGCAAAGCATTTGTGAGCTTTCTTTTTGCCTGCTTCAAGTACATTACACCAGCCCTTGTGAAGTAGTTAATCTCTGGAGCTGAATCAGCTTTATTTAGAATTCACTACAATTTACCATCAAACTCCACCTTTGTCATTAACATGACTTTTCCTAGATGCTCACATAGGAATGAGCCCTAAATTAACTGTCCTAAGAGGACTGAAGTGCAAACAGCATCACTAGCTTTCAAACACCAGCAATACTTCCTGACCACACCTCACTAATGCTTGTTATTTACCCACTATAAAGGCAGAATGCCTCACGTCTAACCGTTGGCCCTCTCTGCTCTTTAAAGTAAGCTTCTGCAACAGTACATATTTGTGTCAATATAGACCTGAGGTGGGTTTAAAGAATGCACCAATATTCTTATTCACAGCCTGGTGCATGCTGGCACCTCACTTTTACACAGCGACAGCATTAAGCCAACACCAACTGGATGATTTATGAGTAAAACATTTAAGTGATTTCATCTCAGTAGCCGAAGCCTTATGAAGTTTCTCCTCAATGTATCAGGTCTGGCAGCATGATTCATCACTATTCACAAAGATCAGTGACAGGACCTGTAACACCACTCATACAGTCACACAACACAAAACAAGCTTTGCATCCTTCACTAGCAATGTACTAAAAAGGAAATTCATTACAATCAACAAAAAAAGTCTGCTGTTTAATCAATAATTATTACCTCTGTTTTATTTCCTGTTGTGAATGAATCGTTCTTCAAGACATATCACATTCCCATTACTAGAAATTGTTCATGCCACTCTAGAAATTTGAGTAAAATCCCAAATTACAAGTTAGTCCATAATATAACACAAGCCAGTAAGAACAACCAAATTTACTGTTGTAACAACTGGTTGCAAGCATTTGAGTCAAATTAAGATGAATACACACCCTGGAGCCAGGGGCTGCCCCACTTTCAAAGAAGTGAGGTTATCAACTATACATTAAAAAAGTGAATACGCATTTTTATTAAAATATGGGAACATTTGTTTATTTATATTAATAAGCATCCAGATGTCCTGTTTGTCATCTTTGACTAAACAGTTTCATACTTATTTCCCAATAAAGTGAAAATTCCCAATTAAAATCCATACTGAGGTAAATTTTAGATTTAGTATGAACACTTCAGACAGGCATTTTACCAGCTCCTCCAACACAAAAATCTATTCCTAATCTCACACAGTTCTAGACCATGTCAAACATGTCCAAAATTACTGATACCTCAATTTTAAAGCTAATGACATAAATACTAATTTAATCCTAATCCATATTTTGCTAGTCAATTTACTGTTAATTTATGTCCACTGATCATTCAGAACGTACATGGCTTTCAGGAAAATCCACTTGTGTGTACCAAGTATTCTTCTACTTGTGATGGTCCTTCCATGAAATCCTAAAATTAAAAATAAGCAAAAATTATCTTTTAAACTAGAGAACATTTTTTCCTGTGGTCTAGCATCAGCTCTCATGTTACTATGTCAGAAACATAATCACCAAGCACAAAAATTGACATTTTCACACAGCAATTTTATATTCTTCTGGAACAGCCTGCAATGCCTGACTAGGTGAATCTTGTAAAAAAGAAGTCCAACTAAGAACTGATCTACAGGCTGACTAACTTAAAGAGCACCAAACCCAAAAATTATCAAATAATTACTTATTACTTTGATGGCAGTTATGAAAACGCAATGTCATTTTTCCTTTTTGTCCCACTCAGTAGCCATACAAAGTTGACAACTCTCTGGCACTTCCCATACTTTGACAGACAAAAATACATAAATCAAGTTAAGAAACACAAGTACTTATTGACTTGGTCAAAAACAGAAATGCAATGTAGATGTAAATGTACATCTAGAGCAACATTAAGAATTCCAGAGCTGTTACCTTAATGTACAATGCGCTCGACACCACTGAAAACCTCCTCTCCATGACACCTAAAAACAAACACAGACAGTCTTACAACTTGAAATCAGCAGATTCACATTACCAGGCCAGTAAGTCACATATATTATGAAGCAATAATCATCAACACGATCTCTAGAAGCAGCACCTTAAGTACTAAATCACAAGCTTGTGGGAGAAAAGCAGCAAAAAATGCAGTTTTAAGCAACAAAGGAGTTGCAAGCTACACCCACTTGAAACCTCATATGAAAAGCATTAAGGAAATAATTGCACATACTCACTGTTAAACCTCAGTCCAAAGATTCTTTTAACAAAAAAATCATCATCTCAAGGTTTTAATGATTCTTAAGAACTAATTTTGGTTCGTTTACAGAATTACTTTAACCATAGAGCAGCAATAAAAATCCACCAACTCAAGCAGTTTAAGAAATGCATGACAAAGGATGCTTTGTCATACACATTATTACCTGAATGTAAGTATCTCACTCGGTACTACATAGATCAAATAAATGCATCGAGCCATGAAAGGTAACTTATCACACTTTGTTTCAGATCACAAAAATAGTTAAAGCTATAGAAACTCTCAAGCTAAGCTTCCACTTCTCGTATGCAATAAGCTTATTGAATAAAATAAACCAAATAATCAGGAGGTACTAATGGTTTAAGTTTCAAGAATTTCACTGTTCAGTAATCTAATGTGTGACTCATTAGACAAGCAAATTAAACACACAATGAATGCACTTTTATCTATCTTTATTCTGCTATATTATTGTTTTTAAAATGTAAAGATTTACATCAAGTATCACCTAAATGTTGTGGGTCTTTTTTCTCTGGGACGTTATGTGGGTTTCACAATCCTTTTATACGTCTTCTGCTGTGGGGCAATGCCATGATGCCGGTGGCTGAGCCCTCCGAAAGATGTACAGGTAACACAAGCACGTGCACCAACCCTCTGCCACTTGAACAAGGTGGTCCCACGTTATTTAACACTTTACGCAGGAACCCAGACGACCGAAGGCTGTCTCACCGTGCCAGGAGATGCCCCAGCTGAGGGCACAGTAGGGGCAGCAAGCCCAGCACCAGCCCCGGCCGCCACGCCTGGGGATCAAAATGGCGCGGGCCCGGCAGCGCCACGCGGGCCACCACAGCCTACCGATCCCAGCCTGCCCCGCGCCCCAGGATGCGGCTTCCGGCAGGGAGCCTCCCAAGGGTCACGCTGGGATATGTAGTCCCCCTTCAGTCCCCTCGCACCGCCGCTGCTGCCAGCAAGGCACCGTGCACAGGCAGCTGCGGCCCCACAGCTGGATTACGGCTGCCTTTCGCCTGACTCGACCCGCTCCAAGGGTGAGAGCTTCACACACCAGCTCCAGCCTCGAGCACTACGCGATGGGCACCGCAGGAGATCCTCCCGAGCGTCCAAACACAAGGAAGAAGCCATGCATCCCCCACCCCCGCCTCCCCGCTGGAGAAGCGGTATACATAGCATCCCGCACCGCCTTACCTCGTTCTACCACGCCAGACGCTCCGCAGGGGAAAAGGGAGGCTAGCCCGCCCTCGCCAGCTTTATATAGATGCTGCCAGGTGGAAACGAGGCTGGCCATGCCCCCTGGCGCGCGAGCCGAGGGGCGGAGACGTCGCGCGGGGCTGGCGCGGGAGCGCGCGGAAGGGCGGGCGCTGATGTGTTGTCTGAGCGGGCCGGACGCCGAGGGGCGGCGCCGCTCTCCCGCCTCCCCGGGCACGGCGTGAGGGGGCGGGCGGCGCTGAGGCCCGGCTGCCCGGCACCGTGCTGCCCGGCACCGTGCTGCCCGGCACCGTGCTGCCCGGCACCGTGCTGCCCGGCACCGTGCTGCCCGGCACCGTGCTGCCCGGCACCGTGCTGCCCGGCACCGTGCTGCCCGGCACCGTGCTGCCCGGCACCGTGCTGCCCGGCACCGTGCTGCCCGGCACCGTGCTGCCCGGCACCGTGCTGCCCGGCACCGTGCTGCCCGGCACCGTGCTGCCCGGCACCGTGCTGCCCGCGCGTGCTGCGTTACCGGTGTCGGGTGTGAGACGGAGAGCGGTTTTATGTTGGGTTTTAAGGGGAGGGAAGGAACCGACCTGGTGCACCTCCACCTCCAAAACTTAAAGAATCCATTCCCCGAAGAACCACAGCGTCATTAAGGTCAAACAGACCATGGCAGTAAGTGCCACATCAGTCTCTCCTTAAACACTCCTAGGGATGGTGACTCCACCACCTCCCTGGGCAGCCCATTCCAATGTCTAATCACCCTTTCTGTGAAGAAATGTTTCCAAATGTCCAGTTTAAATCGCCCCTGGCACAGCTTATGACTGTGTCCTTTCGTCCTGTTGCTCATTCCCTGGGAGAAGAGGCCAACCCTCACCTGGCTACACTCTTCTTTCGGGGAGTTGTAGAGAGTGAGAAGGTCACCCCCGAGTCTCCCTTTCTGCTGGCTAAACACCCCCAACTCTCTCAATCACTCACCATAAGACTTGTGCTCCAGACCCTCCACCAGCTTTGTTGCCCTTCTCTGGACTCCAGCCCCTTGCTGTAGGAGTGCACCTTCTTGCAGTAAGGAGTCCAGAACTAAACAGAGCCCTCAAGGTGTGGCCTCACCAATGCAGAGTACAGGGTGCTCGATGCACAATCACCATCCTGGTCCTGCTGGCCACACCATTGCTGATACAGGCCAGGTGCCATTGGCCTTCTTGGCTACCTGGGCACTGCTGGCTCATGTTCAGCCACCAGCACTCCCAGGTCCTTTTCCACCAGGCAGCCTCCCAGCTGCCCCCAGAGTGAGTACTTGTTTCTTACATCTGTCTTATTTTCCTGTTCCCTAGGGCATCCAACTGGTTAACCTTGTGAAGCTATGCCTTGATGCCTCAACTTTCCTTTGACCCTAATTAGATGTTTCTGAAACATTAACCACAGAGCACCCATTTCTACTTTTTGAAAGTAGCATGCAACACTGTATCCCTGTATAACATTATAAGTTGTAAGAGCTGAAATATCTCCTCTTACCCACAAAAAATAGAGCTTTCTGGAGTTATTCATTCCATACTTATATTTTAAGGATATTGTTCCACAGTGAAGCAAATAGTGGATTTTAGTAAGAGCTTTTGTGCTATGAAGATGATGGGACACTGGAACAGGTTGCCCAGAGAGGCTGTGGATGCCCCATCCCTGGAAGTGTTCAAGGCCAGGTTAATGGGGCTCCAAGCAACCTCATCTAGTGGAAGGTGTCCCTATGGCAGGGGGGTTTCAACTGGATTATCTTTAATGTTCCTTCCAACCCAAATAATTTTATTACTCACCTTATTTCACTGCAGCTTTATCCACTGGAAGTTGTATAGCTACACCTTGTGGAGGGAGTTAGTCTCCACCTGAATCTGCCTCCTGTACTGGTGTGGAAGTGTCAGTGAAAGGTGTCTGGGCTACAGTGAGGATAGCAGGCACACTGCAGCCTGGATGGTGTTTAAACTGATGGGAAACTACATCCTAAATTCTCATTTATGGAGGTTCTCAGTAGTTGTCTATAAATAGGTTTTTTTTGTCTGCCTGTTTATTGAGAGGTTTAGTATATCAATCAGCTTAATTGAGGGAATAAGGGAAAAACAAGGAAGGATGAAGAAAAGCTGAAAAATATTTGATGTTTTGACAAGTTATTAATAATATGACAAAAAACAATGTTCCACGTATGGTCTCTTTTTAGGAGGGTTTAACTGTTGGGAACAGATAAGGGAAATCTAAAATAGTCAATTGTAAGGTTCTAAAATATTTGGCAATTTTATTCCTAAAATTACTGAGATTGATACTACCAGGAAAACTAAACAGCTGACAAATTTTAAACAAGTTTTCTTCTACAGTCCATGGCAGCGGATGACACTCTTCTCTCTGCTTTTCTTCCTATGCATCCCATTTTACCTGTCTGAAATCTTGAGTGTGATCTGCACTTTGCCCCTTTTCTGCCTTAAAGGCATGAGGAATGAGGTCTACAGTGCTGCCTTTTTCTCTGAGTGCCTCCCACTGGCAAATGTTTTGGCTGCTGTTTCTGCAGGAGTGAGAGTGAGAAGCAGTGTAAGCATTGGGGAAGAACTTCTAGTGCTTCAGGGAGTGCTCAGCAGCCCAACTTGGGCACAGACAGGCAAGCAGTTGGTACTGTTGTTATCTTTCCATCTGACCTATTCAAAAGGCCTCAAAACTGATGTTTGCCACATCGCACTGAGAATGTGAGCCACCCTTCCTTAGTGACGTCAGGGTTAAAGACAAGCAAAGTAATCACAGCCATTCATCACTCAATCAGCCCTAAAGAAAGGCAGCTCCTTACCATTCCTTTACTAAGTGCTAAATAATTCTGTATTTCTACCGGTGCTCGTGGAGGGCTTTTACTCCATGTTAGTCTCTCAAGGACTGGAATTTCTTTTTGGGGAAAAACACTCACAATTAAGCCCGAAGTATATTGCAGTTAAGTATAAATAAGTACAATTTTAGTTTGCATTTGGTAATAAGAATCCTATAAATACTAAGATAAGGGCTATTCAGGGCTGATGGGTGCTGCTCTGTAGTGTGAGCTTTGCAGGTGAAACAAGGGTGAGCACCCAGTGTGGGGAGCCTTGCACTGTGCAATGCTACTGCACCCTGGCTTTTGGAATTTGCCAGGGGAAACTCCTCATCTCTCTGTTAGATTGGAGGTTACAGGTTTACTAGCAGAGCCTGAATGCACTGCTATGCAAACCTTTTGTCCCCAAAGAAACGTGTCTCATATTTCTCAGCATCACTCAAAGCTACTAGCACTGGACAAGCTTGTAGGGCAAGTGAAGAACAGCTTTACTGTAAATAGGCAACAATTGCAAGTCTGAAAAAAGTTAACCAAACCAAAGCAAAAATATATACCACAAATATAAATTATTTTTCAAAGTGAGGTTCCTTCTTTTACCTTTCTTTCCCCTCCTTCAGGCTTCCACATCTTTAATCTATATCCCAGCTGTCTGGATGAGGGTGCAAGCTGTAGAACAAGAACTGATCCTCTATTGCCACTCTCCAGAGAGATCCTAAGGCTGGTCTGAACAATAAGCCTGGTTGCCATAAAGCATTAGTTTATAGATGAGTTGCTTCTGAATTTAGCTCACCACATGGCTTCACATTTGTGCACAGTGTCAGCACTGGCAGAAGGGAGTGCTGGTTTTGAGATAATTGGAACGTACTGGATTGACTCTCCTGTGTTGGCCCACACAAACGTATGTCAGCCTGGAAGTCTGGTGGTGCAACTACCTCCATTGCTTTCCAGGTCTAGGTAACTCCAAGTTCTCTTTTCTTGTCTTAAATTACTTCTTTCTTGTTCTTTATTTCTATCCTCTCCCCCCCCCCCCCCCCCCCC